ATATAATAATGAATATTCATATTAATGATTATTAATGAATCGATATTAATATAATCATATTAATATCAACGATTATTAATTAAGTATTAATTACTAATTAACAGGCCGACATGCTTCACGCCGAAACGGAGCTGGCGGCCGAGAGGAAGTCATTGATCATTCATAAATTAATATTAATACAATAATGAATATTAATATTAACGATTATTAATTAATTACTAATTATTAATTAACAGGCCGACATGCTTGACGCCGAGACGGAGCTGGCGGCCGAGAAGACGTCATTGATCGTTCACGAATTAACACTAATACAATAATGAAGATTCATATGAACGATTATTATTAATGATTAATGATTAATTATAATTATTAATTATTAATTATTAATTCCTAATTAACAGGCCGACATGCTTCACGCCGAGACGGAGCTGGTGGCCGAGAAGAAGTTCCGGGACAACTCCCTCAGCGCCCAGAAGAAGCAGATCGAGAGGATCCGGGCCAAAGACGCCACCGAGCGCCGGCGCCGGACCCTGGTGAGGCGGCGCCGGGAAACGTAGCGCGCGGCGCCCGCTTCGGCCCCGCGTCCGCTCTAACCACTGCGCTCTCCTCCCTCCAGCAAGGCCGGCGGGACATGGACTTCCCTTCCCTGATGGGCCGCGAAGGGACGAGAGGTAAGGGAAGCGGGAGTCGTAGCGCGCGGCGCCCGGTCGGCGCCCGGGAGTTGTAGCGCGTGGCGCCCAGTAAGCCAACATTGACATGAACTTCCCCTCCCTTAAGGGGGAATGAGAGGCGAGCGAGGGGCACCGCTTGGGAGTTGTAGTGCGTGGCGCCCGGTCGCCGTCTGGGAGTTGTAGCGCGCGGCGCCCAGTTAGCCCCATGAACTTAGACATGAACTTCCCCTCCCTAAGGGGGAATGAGAGGTGAGCAAGGGGCGCCACTTGGGGGTTGTAGCGCGCGGCGCCCGGTCGGCGCCTGGGATCTGTAGCGCGCGGCGCCCAGTATGCCCCTCTTGGCCAACATGGCCGCCTTGACATGAACTTCCCCTCCCTAAGGGGGTGAGAGGTGAGCAAAGGGCGCCACTTGGGAGTTGTAGCGCGCGGCGCCCGGTAGGCCCCTCTCGGCCAACATTGACATGAACTTCCCCTCCCTTAAGGGGATGAGAGGGGAGCAAGGGGCACCGCTTGGGAGTTGTAGCGCGGGGAATCCGGTTTGGGAGTTGTAGCGCGCGGCGCCCGGTCAGCGCCTGGGATCTGTAGCGCGCGTCGCCCAGTACGCCCCTCTTGGCCAACATGGCCGCCTTGACATGAACTTCCCCTCCCTAAGGGGGTGAGAGGGGAGCAAGGGGCGCCACTTGGGAGTTGTAGCGCGGGGAGTCCGACTTGGGAGTTGTAGCGCGGCGCCCGGTCACCTCCTGAGAGTTGTAGCACGCGGCACCCGGTCCCGCTTGGGAGTTGTAGCGCGCGGAAGTCCGACTTGGGAGTTGTAGCGCGCGGCGCCCGGTCCCCTCCTGGGAGTTGTAGCGCCCGGCGCCCGGTCCCCATTACCTTATGGGAGGCAAGCAAGGGCCGCTGCTTGTCCCGCTTGGGAGTTGTAGCGCGCGGGAGTCCGACTTGGGAGTTGTAGCGCGCGGCGCCCGGTCCCCTCCTGGGAGCTGTAGCGCGCGGCGCCCGGTCCCCATTACCTTATGGAAGCAAGCAAGGGCCGCTGCTTGTCCCGCTTGGGAGTTGTAGCGCGCGGGAGTCCGACTTGGGAGTTGTAGCGTGCGGCGCCCGGTCACCTGAGAGTTGTAGCGTGCGGCGCCCGGTCCCCTCCTGGGAGTTGTAGCGTGCGGCGCCCGGTCCCCTCTTGAGAGTTGTAGCGTGCGGCGCCCGGTCCCCTCCTGAGAGTTGTAGCATGCGGCGCCCGGTCACCTGAGAGTTGTAGCGTGCGGCGCCCGGGCCCCTCTTGAGAGTTGTAGCACGCGGCGCCCGGTCCCATCCTGCAAGTTGTAGCGTGCGGCGCCCGGTCCCCTCCTGAGAGTTGTAGCGCGGCGCCCGGTCCCCTCCTGAGAGTTGTAGCAAGCGGCGCCCGGTCCCCTCCTGTGAGTTGTAGCGTGCGGCGCCCGGTCCCCTCCTGGGAGTTGTAGCGTGCGGCGCCCGGTCCCCTCCTGAGAGTTGTAGCACGCGGCGCCCGGTCCCCTCCTGGGAGTTGTAGCACGCGGCGCCCGGTCCCCTCCTGAGAGTTGTAGCGCGCGGCGCCCGGTCCCCTCCTGAGAGTTGTCGCGCGCGGCGCCCGGTCCCCTCCTGAGAGTTGTAGCGTGCGGCGCCCGGTCCCCTCCTGAGAGTTGTCGCGCGGCGCCCGGTCCCCTCCTGAGAGTTGTAGCGCGGCGCCCGGTCCCCTCCTGAGAGTTGTAGCAAGCGGCGCCCGGTCCCCTCCTGTGAGTTGTAGCGTGCGGCGCCCGGTCCCCTCCTGGGAGTTGTAGCGTGCGGCGCCCGGTCCCCTCCTGGGAGTTGTAGCGTGCGGCGCCCGGTCCCCTCCTGAGAGTTGTAGCACGCGGCGCCCGGTCCCCTCCTGGGAGTTGTAGTGTGTGGCGCCCGGTCCCCTCCTGGGAGTTGTAGCACGCGGCGCCCGGTCCCCTCCTGAGAGTTGTAGCACGCGGCGCCCGGTCCCCTCCTGAGAGTTGTAGCACGCGGCACCCGGTCCCCTCCTGGGAGTTGTAGCGTGCGGCGCCCGGTCCCCCTCTCTCCCTACCTTATGGGAGGTCAGCAAGGGCCGCCGCTCGTCCCGCTTGGGAGTTGTAGCGCGCGGGAGTGCGAGTTGGGAGTTGTAGCGCGCGGCGCCCGGTCCCCTCCTGAGAGTTGTAGCACGCGGCGCCCAGTCCCCTCCTGAGAGTTGTAGCACGCGGCGCCCGGTCCCCTCCTGGGAGTTGTAGCGTGCGGCGCCCGGCCCCTCCTGGGAGTTGTAGCGTGCGGCGCCCGGTCCCCTCCTGAGAGTTGTAGCGTGCTGTTGTACTTGGGAGTTGTAGCGCGCGGCGCCCGGTCACCTTTTTCTCTCTCGCACCAGGCGCCCGGCTGGAAGCTTCCAAGGCGCAGATCGAGTACCAAGGCCTGGTGACGACGGAAGTGGAGAAGATCAAGGCGGCCGTCCAGTGCTCCCATCTTTGGGTATTGTAGTTCCCGGCGCCCGATATTATCGATAATAATAAATAATAATAATAATAATAATAATAATAATAATAATAATAGATTTTATTTATATCATTATTTCTAATGGTAAAGAAGAATAAATTAATAACGTAAAGAAGAATGATAAGAAAGAAGAATAAATTAATAACATAAAGAATAATGATAAAGAATAAAGAAGAATAAGAATAAGAATAAGAATTAATCATAAAGAAGAAGAAGAATGCGGAATAAAGAATAATAATCAATAAGAAGAAGAAGAAGGAAGAAAGAATGAGAATAATAAATATTATTATTAAAGAATAAATAAAGAAATAAATAAATAAATAAATAAATAAATAGATAATAAAATAATAAAATAAAGAAGAAGAAGAAGAAGAAGAAGAAGAAATAATGAGAATAATAAGTAAATAATAAAAAATAAAAAATAATTAATAATTAATAATTAATAATTAATAACATAAAGAATAATGATAAAGAATAAGGAAGAATAAGAATAAGAATTAAGAATAAAGAAGAAGAAGAATGCGGAATAAAGAATAATAATAAATAAGAAGAAGAAGAAAGAAAGAATGAGAATAATAAATAAATAATAATAAATAATACCCTAATAATAATAAATAATAAGCAGGATAAGAATCAGAATAAATAGATAAATAAGAATGAGAACAAAAGTAATAAATAATGAGAATAATAAATAAATAATTATTATTATTAATAATAATAATAATGACAACAAAAACAAATAATAATAATAATAATAATAATAATAATAATAATAATAATAATAATACCCTAAGAATTGGTTTCAAATAACAATAAATAATAAATACTAAATAATAATTGGTTGCAAATAATAATAAGATGAATAAAATTAATAATAATAATAATAATAATAATAATAATAATAATAATAATAATAATATAAGAAGAAGAAGAAGAATGGCTTCGGGGCCGTCGACCCGTCAATAATCAATAATCAATAACCGCTTTCTTCTTCCCCCGCAGGACATCGCCGGGCGCTTCCTGGCGCAGCGCAAGTCGGAGGAGGACCTGCGCCAGCAGATCGCCGAGTGCGAGCGGCGCCGCCGGGAGCTCCAGTCCCGCCTCAAGGCTTTGGAACTGGAACGGGCCGAGCTGAAGTTCCACCGGGCGCCCGGGCGCCCTCAGGTACCGGGTTCGAGTCCGGTCATGGGGCAGGGAGTTCCGAAGGTTTGCAGAATCAAAACCGGGCGCTTCCCCCCGCAGCTTCCGGAAGCTGGCGGAGGAACTGGGCGCCGCCTTGGAGGAGGAGACCCGGCGCCTGGAGGAGGCGCGGCGCTACGTTTCCCAGAGCCAGGAGCTGCTGCTGCGCTTTGAGAACGGGGTCAACAACCTGGCGGTGCGGCTGTGCGGCGTCCATGTGCCCGGGCAGGTAGGGAAACTACGGTTCCCAAAGGCGTCTCTGGGGTGGGGTGTTGGGAACTGTAGTTTGGGCGCGGAGGCGCCCGGTGAGCCATACTATAGTTCCCAGTGTGCATACTATAGTTCCCAGTGAGTTAGACTATAGTTCCCAGTGTGCATACTATAGTTCCCAGTGAGTTAGACTATAGTTCCCAGTGCGCATACTATAGTTCCCAGTGGGACATACTATAATTCCCAGTGGGACATACTATGGTTCCCATACTATAGTTCCCAGTGCGCATACTATAGTTCCCAGTGTGCATACTATAGTTCCCATACTATAGTTCCCGGTGCGCATACTATAGTTCCCAGTGCACATACTATAGTTCCCAGTGTGTCTAGTATAGTTCCCAGTGGGACATACTATAATTCCCAGTGCGTCATACTATAGTTCCCAAAACTATATTTCCCAGTGGGACATGCTATAGTTCCCAGTGAGCCATACTATAGTTCCCAGTGGGACATACTATAGTTCCCAGTGCGCATACTATAGCTCCCAGTGGGACATACTATAATTCCCAGTGCGTCATACTATAGTTCCCAGAACTATAGTTCCCAGTGAGCCATACTATAGTTCCCAGTGTGCATACTATAGTTCCCAGTGAGCCAGTGTGCCCGGGCAGGTAGAAGAACTACAGTTCCCAAAGGCGTCTCTGGGGTGGGGTGTTGGGAACTGTAGTTTGGGCGCAGGCGCGCCCGGTGAGGCATACTATGGTTCCCAGTGTGCATACTATAGTTCCCAGTGTGCATACTATAGTTCCCAGTGAGCCAGTGTGCCCGGGCAGGTAGGGAAACTACGGTTCCCAAAGGCGTCTCTGGGGTGGGGTGTTGGGAACTGTAGTTTGGGCGCAGACGCACCCGGTGAGCCATACTATAGTTCCCAGTGAGCCATACTATAGTTCCCAGTGTGCATACTATAGTTCCCAGTGTGCATACTATAGTTCCCATACTATAGTTCCCAGTGAGCCATACTATGGTTCCCAGTTCTCCATACTATAGTTCCCAGTGGGATATACTATAGTTCCCAGTGTGCATACTATAGTTCCCATACTATAGTTCCCAGTTCTCCATACTATAGTTCCCAGTGGGACATACTATAGTTCCCAGTGCGCATACTCTAGTTCCCAGTGGGCTATACTATAGATCCCATACTATAGTTCCCAGTGAGCCATACTATGGTTCCCAGTTCTCCATACTATAGTTCCCAGTGGGACATACTATAGTTCCCAGTGAGCCATACTATAGTTCCCAGTGTGCATACTATAGTTCCCAGTGTGTCTAGTATAGTTCCCAGTGGGACATACTATAGTTCCCAGTGTGTCTAGTATAGTTCCCAGTGAGCCATACTATAGTTCCCAGTGTGCATACCATGGTTCCCAGTGAGTCATACTATAGTTCCCAGTGGGACATACTATAGTTCCCAGTGTGTCTAGTATAGTTCCCAGTGCGTCATACTATAGTTCCCAGTGAGTTTTCTATAGTTCCCAGCGCTGCATACTATACTTCCCAGTGTGCATACTATAGTTCCCAGTGAGCCATACTACAGTTCCCAATGTGCATACTATGGTTCCCAGTGAGTCATAGTATAGCCCACATACTATAGTTCCCAGTATGTCATGCTGCGGTTCCCAGTGCTCTATACTATAGTTCCCAGTGAGCGATATTTTAGTTCCCAGCGCTCCATGCTATAGTTCCCAGGGAGGGATACTATAGTTCCCGGTGTGTCATAGTATAGTTCCCAGTGAGCCATACTATAGTTCCCAGTGGGACATACTATAGTTCCCAGTGTGTCTAGTATAGTTCCCAGTGAGCCATACTATAGTTCCCAGTGTGCATACTTTAGTTCCCAGTGAGCCAGTGTGCCCGGGCAGGTGGGAAAACTACAGTTCCCAAAGGCGTCTCTGGGGTGGGGTGTTGGGAACTGTAGTTTGGGCGCAGGCGCTCCCGGTGAGGCATACTATAGTTCCCAGTGTGCATACTATAGTTCCCAGTGAGTTTTCTATAGTTCCCAGTGGGACATACTATAGTTCCCAGTGTGTCTAGTATAGTTCCCAGTGAGCCATACAATAGTTCCCAGTGAGCCATACTATAGTTCCCATACTATAGTTCCCAGTGAGCCATACTGTAGTTCCCAGTGAGCCATACTATAGTTCCCATACTATAGTTCCCAGTGAGCCATACTATAGTTCCCAGTGAGCCATACTATAGTTCCCATACTATAGTTCCCAGTGAGCCATACTATAGTTCCCAGTGGGCTATACTATAGTTCCCATACTATAGTTCCCAGTGAGCCATACTATGGTTCCCAGTGAGTTTTCTATAGTTCCCAGTGCTCCATACTATAGTTCCCTGTGGGACATACTATAGTTCCCAGTGAGCCATACTATAGTTCCCAGTGTGCATACTATGGTTCCCAGTGAGCCATACTAAAGTTCCCAGTGAGTTTTCTATAGTTCCCAGTGAGCCATACTATAGTTCCCAGTGGGCTATACTATAGTTCCCAGTGAGCCATATTATAGTTCCCAGTGAGCCATACTATAGTTCCCAGTGAGTTTTCTATAGTTTCCAATGAGCCATACTATGGTTCCCAGTATGTCATGCTGTGATTCCCAGTGCTCTATACTATAGTTCCCAGTGCGTCATACTATAGCTCCCAGTGGCCATACTATAGTTTACATACTATAATTCCCAGTGTGCCATACTATAGTTCCCGGTGTGCGCCATACTTTAGTTCCCAGAACTATATTTCCTAGTGCGCCATACTATAGTTCCCAGTGAGTCAAACTGTAGTTCCCAATGAGCCATACTATAATTTCCAGTACTCCATGCTATAGCTCCCAGTAAGCCATAGTATAGTATACATACTATAATTCCCAGAGCGCCATACTATAGCCTG